TAGAGACAAAACAAAAAAATAGCAAAGCTAAATATGGCAAGGAATTGTTACTTGCTTTAGAAAATACGAAGTATTAAAAACAACGAAGCCAAAAGTAAGCAAAAGTGTACTTGGAATATTAAGAAGCTTTTTAATTTTTTTTTCCAAACTCAAAATATTTCATTGAGTCCTAACTTCATTCATTTAGATATTTTAAATTTCCGTAGTCTTCAACCATAAGTTCCATCTAATTATGTCCTAAAGTGACTTGCAAAGTCATCCATAGGCATTCCTTTGGAAATAGCAAAAGAAATGCTAATATAATTTGATAATGATTATTTAAAACTGTATATGATGGGTAGAAATATCTGAAAGAGGACTTTCTAAAACCCTCAAATCTCCGAACAGATAATAACTAAAGAAGAGTAAGTGCCAGCTCATTTAATAGCAGGGCATTCAGTATATATTTCTCATACCATGACAATCCCTGTCCCCATTGTCTTTTAAGACTATGGGAAGGTTGTATCCAAAAACACAGCTCAGATGTTCTTAGGTCTTGTATTCGAAGCATTTTCATACAAAATCAACAAATTAAGTATGTTTATTACACTAATTATTTACCTCTTTTAATCTCTCTTTTTCACAGTTGCATAAGAAAGTCCCAAAAAGACAACTGTAAAGGTGATCCAGAATGGTGATCAAAAATAACTCGTTGAATTCAAAGGCTGCAGGAAACTGAAATAAAAAATTGGTAAAATTACTTTAAACTTTATTTTAAGCAGTGTAGAAAGGAAGAAACTCAGACATAAGAAATAACCAAAAGATTCAGATAAGTTTTTTTTTCTTATTTAGTGATTATTTTCAGGAAAACTCAGCAATTTCAGTAACTCCTACTGCGCTAATACATTTCACCTACATACTTCTTTATAAATACTCCTCAGAGACAAAACTTACATTCATTATGCAAGTATACTAGAATACAAACATAGAAACATTAGCTAATGTGAAACTGGTGACACAAAGCAATCCATTTTAAGGTGCTCTAACAGTATGCTGTTCTAACCCACCCCAAACTGTCTTCAACATATGCTTTATTGCTCTTGTTACAGGACAATAAATCATTTTGGAAAAAGAAAAAAAAAATATTATGACATTTAAGAGTTTTATTTCCTATTCTAACATGCAATGAATTGGATAATAGAGACTACTGCACGTACAATGTGCTTAACATATTTAAAAAGTTTCTTTCACTTTCTACCCAAGTAAGTTACTTTTCTCCATTTCACCTCTTGAGTTTACCATCAGCTATGTACAATAAGCCTTTAATCCCTCTTCTTTAATTTTGGAAAGTAAATCCTGTACATGTGAAATGAAAGAACTGTTATTCCACTGAGCACCACTAGATATTTTATTCACAATACATCAGGTATTTACCTGATACATTCTAGGAAAAAGAGTTAGAAATTTGAAAACACTCAAAATGTTTAAGATATCTTAATCTGTAGTGCTTTAAAAATCATAAAGGAAAAAATTAATGCAAACTGCATGGGCTGCTACCTATTCAGATGGAAAAGGTCCTTCTTCAAACAAATTTTATGATAAGACTACATATGGCAACTGCTTGATGTGTCAAAATAGCTTTGCATTCAGTATGACAAGGGTCTCAAACACAGATACAGAATGATTAACATTTAGGTGAAAAAAAAATTAGAAGACTAAAGGAAAATTTACGAAGTAGCATTTCTCTCATTACCATGAAAGAGAATGTTATAAGAGACTAATTTTCAGGACAAATGAAACAAATTTTGTTCATGCCCAATAAAGGAGTAAATCTTTACAGAAGTCTAAAATGCAAAGTTACAGATGCATAAGGAAGAATTTCCTGCTGTACGGAGAAATCTCAAGCCAATATTTCAGATCTGAAGAAAGCAACGGACTGGTTTCTGTTCTGTGCCACTGAAGAATACTGAAGACCTTGGCATGAGTGACTCAAGAGCTCCTTTAAATAAAAAAAAAAAGACAAGCACAGCTAGGAGGAATAACGCAGCAACTGGGACCGCGGATGAACTAGCTGATCCAGAAATTCCTCTTCAGTGTCATCTGTGATTTATGAAGGGCAAATGTTTATTCATGTTGAAAGTAAAGAGTTGAATAACACACAGTGGGTGCGCTTGTATTAAACCCAGAAAGATCTAAGTTTTAAGCAATGTTCTTTTAAAAGAAGATTGATTTAAGTCAAACATTGCAAAAACATTCTCTTTCCAAGACTTCTCAAGCTAAGATATACCAACTTTCAAATGAAAATTTTGAGTAAGGAAATTATCAATATCATGGCTCACAAAATGAACGGGAGCCTTCCTTCTTCTGACTCTGCTGTGGATTACGCACTGCTCAAGAGCACCGCGTGCTCACACTGGGTCTTCTCTCTCAAATCACTGGTTTGTTTTCAGTCACCTAGGCATTTGTTTTCATAAAACATATAGGAACTTAAGATTATCAAATTCTCTTTTTCAGTCACGTTCAAAAGTTATCACTTAGAGCACTTCCTTCTCTCTAGGAAATCATGCCAAAACTCAATTACAATACAATGATGTTAACAACACAGCTATGATTTTAAAGAAATATGAACAGAACTTGATAAGCAGGTGTGCTGAACCAAGGCAGGAGGACATTCAGTGGGTCTCAGACCTCAATCTCCTGCGTCCAGCCCAAAGCAGCAGATACAGAGAGCAAAAATAATTTGCAAAGGATCAAAATGATATTTGGAAATAACTTCGAAGACAAAGCCTCTCCTAAAGGGACTCTCTTTAACTGAAAGCACTTAATGAGCCTTGTCACATTAGGGTTCTGTGTTGTGATGGGTCCATACTAATCAGACGGATGACGACATGGCCGCTATTCCAATTCAGTGAAGCATATTCAAAATTCCATACATCAGTGGTTGCACTCCAACTAATTTATTAATAAGTGATAGCACTTTATTGAAACCCTGTCTTTGGATACAAGAGTTGTACTGTTGGAGCTGACGTATCAAGACTGTAAAGCTTCTATTACCGCTGCTGAAAAATCACTGACCTAAAAATGCTTTCCTCTGTAGTTCCAAGCCCATTAGCGTCTGTTTGAAGATTCAGGTGGAAAAATTTCCCAAATGAAAATTTACTTCTTGTCAAATCCAATAATTGTGAGAGAACACACAGGTCATTAAAATCTCCCACTTGATGCTGCTGGAGTGGTTGGAGGTTTTTGTAAAGGAGGTATTTAAAAGAATTCTCTTGTTTAAAAGTCTGATGATGCCAAGTGGCATCTGATTCAGAGACGTGGAAAATAAACTTGCTTTTTAATCAATGAACTCGTTCTGTAAAACAGTAACATTTAAAGTTGAAACACTTTGCGGAATAGTTCTTATGATCGTGGAATTGGACTGAATCAGGTTAACTCAACACTAGATATCCTAACAGAGTACACTACTGAAACTAGTGAAACATGCATCTCTGGCAACAGATGATATCCAGTAACAAACAGGATGCAACTTTCTACCAACTTTAAACATACCTTACTCCTATGTGGGTACTGTGCATGAAAGGTAGAAAGCTCCCACTTGAGCTGCAATGCTACATGCAAATTTTATAGTTTTGTTTCATTTTTAACAGGGCATCAGTATTTCATCAGATCACATGCGACCTTTCCAATTTGACATCTGCTGTTCAAAATCACCAGAATTTACTAACAGAGGAGGGAAATCACTTCACCATATGTTTTTTATTAAAATCTGGTGTCAATGTACTTCTCTCAAGTTCTCTATTACTGTATTTGTGTGTCATGAAGACCATAAAAAGCAAGGGAAAATATAAGGCTGTCAAGGATTAAATTTCATTGTCTGAAGCTACCCGGAAATTTGTATCTTAGTGGGAAGTTAGAGATTCTCTCACTGTATTAAGTCAACTGTTTTAAGTATGTAACTCTCAGAACCCGAAAGAGAAAATTTGCTTGCTTTGAGCCCATGCCCAAACCCGAGCCCTTACACCCTCCCACAGTCATTAACACTTATTTGAGCTTTGGAACATTTCACATATGTTTACCATAGATTCTAAAGCACGAAACTAGCACTGTTTTACAAGGAAGTGATCTACACAAGGATAAAATAGAATCCTGGTTTTCACAGGTCCATGTCAAGGTAATCACAATCTTCACATCTATTCTCTAGGTGTTGAAGTCAACTAAAAAATAAAAATAAGTGGGCAAGAGCTCTCCAAGAATGACGTTTTCAATTTTTTTCCTGCTGTAACATTAATGATTTTTCAATGCCACTGCTGTTCATGAATTTCAGAACAGTTTCTGGATCCAGGTTTTGAACAGATGTGGTATTGGCAAAATGTTTCACAAATTCCCCCCTCCCCCTGTTCCTTTTTTTTTTAAAAACTGTTTATAGCAAGAAATAGGAGGCAGAAAGGGAGATCACAAAAATAGAAGAGGCTGCTCTCAATTAAGGATCTCCCCAGAGGACTTTTGTTCCTACCAGGTGTTTAGAACTGCTTCTCTTTGCTATTGTTATTAGCTTTCCTCTGAGAGAGGGGCAGAATTTTTCATTTATTTTCTCCAGCCATACTAAACAGCACATTAATGCTGAAATGTAGACACACAGAAAGAGAAAGTCTTCAAGGGACTCTGGACAGGGGCCCAGTATTACAGCAGGGAACTTTCATAAAGCAACCGAGATGACTGTTTTGAATACAAGTTTTGGAAACTATGATGTAAGTTATTAAGAAGCCATGTTCCGAGAAAGAAGACTAAGGTAAGAGATCTGAAAGTGCTAGCATCATATGGAACTAGACTGTTACCCTCCTCTCTTCAAATCACATACTATACAGATTTCAGTATAATAGCTTTTACCATAAGACCACAGATCTACATTAGGCTTCAAGGAGAGGAAAAAAAAAAAGAGAGAGGAAAAAAAAGAAAAAAGGAATCAAGCACTTCTAATTTACTTGGAAATAAAGCCTTCATGTGGACAACCTATTTCAGTAACTCCATTAAAGAACAGCAATATAAAAGCTCAGAAAAATCTTAAGTTTATGCTCATGAAGGTACAAATAAGGAAAATGAAGGCTAAAGCCGTTCTATAATTTAACATATCCAGAAAAAAAATTGAAAATTTTAATATTTTGATATCTTAAATATCACTAATTCCAAAGATCTCCCCTGATTCAGAGGTAAAAGCAGTGTTGGAAGTAAGAAAACTTACCTGAAAATAGGCTTGCATGTTAGAAATGCTGTCCTGTATGCATAATGATGCCAACATTAACTTACATTTCACATTTGAGACATACGTAGAAGAACCCTCTCCTCCCCTCAGTTCACAATCAGCCTGGATTTGTGCTGTTTCTTAAGGACAATATAAATCCATATGAACATTTACTCCACCAGTGAATATGCAATGCAAATAAATTACCTCATCAATAACCCTCATTTATGTAATCAGAGAATCCTTTGAAAGCCCTATTTTAAACAGAAAGGATTCTTGGTATTTTGGTTTCAAGTCAATACTTCTACTCTAGCTCCTTGTACCTCACTTTGAGCAAAAAGTTTCCCCATGTGTGCACGGTGCAGCCATAGCACGACCAACTTCAGGAAAACAGGCTACTGCTCTGCAAAGGAACGTGTTCTCCTACATGAATTATGTTTCCCAGATCAAGACTGAGTCCTCACAGAAATACACTCTTAAGCATCTTACCTGCTTTGTCATTTGCCAGACACAGTCGATGAACTGAAGGAAAATGGGAGATCTGTCTGCATCTGCATGATCATCATCTCCGTGTCCTACTCGCTGAAAGTCAAAACAAGATTTTCATTTCAGTCTAGTGTATTTACAGTACCATCCCAACACTTTAAAGCTGAGTAACTCTTAAATACGTTCCAATCGTGAACAAGACAAGCAAATCTTCCATAATGCTAACCTGTATTTTTCAACTACTAAAAACGCAACCCAATATTCACTTATGGACATGCCTTTGCAGAGCTGTGCCATTGTTTCCCCATCTTTCACTGCACAGCCATTTATTTCTACCAGTGGGTCAAACCAGTAGTTATTTACTAAGACTGTACTGAAACAATGATTATTCCATATCCACCTGCCATAACTACATGTCATTTCTCCTAAACCATCTTAGAGTCAGAGCCCACAAAATGTCATAATAATTTATGTCTTAATTCTCCACTAGCCCATGTGTTAAATAAACAGTTCAACCTTAAATCAGAGTAATGGTTCCAGCAATTTTACCTTCTAGACACCTTAGTTGTTTTCCTTGTTTCTCCATTCATAAGATTGTTCAAGATGAAGCAATGTGTTACAATCCCTCTTCCTCATAAAAAAGTCATGTGAATTTTTTTAACCATTACGTTCAAAGCACTTAATTCTTATTTACTTCATATTATACCTCACACACAGATTTCCTGTTAAAAATGAACAGGTCACAATTCTCTGACACACTCACACCATTAAAAGAAGGACACCAGAGATAACAACTAAAACGCAGCAGAGTACTGTGAGAAAACATGCTATTCAAAATAAAAGCACTGAAGGTGACAAATTGCGCACTAAATCTTTCAGCTTACCATTGCAAATCGGTGTCCAAAACTTATCCATTCTTTCTCTATAAGAACTTCAAACCCCTTGATAGTTCTGTAATAGCTGTCCAGCATAAGCATAGCTAGGGCAGTAAGCTGTGCAGTTCGATCCCAGCCATCACTGCAATGTACCACTACAGATGTTTTACCGGATTCAATTTTATCTGCAATTCTTACTGCTCCAGCAAGAAGCATCTTAAATAAACAAAAATAAATAAACAAGCATATTAAATACTAACCAAAACTCTATCAAAAAAAGTATTAGAATTTTATACTCTTAAGGTTAATATTTTTTAAAATTTCCAATTGATTAATCATCTGGATGACCTTGCTTTACATTAGAGATTTCCAAATGGTGGTATGCATACTCCTAGAGGTACAAAAACTGTGTGCACCCTGTTGTCCAGGAGAAAGTTCTTACCAGCTCTCCATTATTAGTAGCACATAGCAAAAGAACCTGGGAATCCCTTCTCTAAATTAAATCTGAAATTCAGTATCATGATGAAAAGACACAAATACCGTAACCTATTCCAAAGGCTGAAAGTTCAATGTTTTCGAAGTTCATTTTCACAGTAATCAGTCACTCTTTCTTCCTCAGCTTTCAGTTCTCAACTACTAAGTTTAGAGAAAGGGACAAACTATCCAGCTAATCTGAATCAAAACACAACCCAAACAAACCCAGAAACCCCTGGCTGGGAGCCTGTGCCTATTTGTTGGTGCCTGAAGTATACATTATATTCAACCCATGAGCAGACCATGGATTCAGAAGCATGCTGGAGAGCAAAGGATAGGGATGGCACAGAACTGAGATCACCTATGTGAACTTGTTATTCTTCTCCCCCACAAAAAAAAACCCTCTCCTGTTCTCTTATGCCGCTCTGTAGTTTTTCAAAAACTTGAATAATCTCTCTCCTGTGAAGATTTGTCTCTGTAACATGACCTATCATGGCACTGAAAAATATGTGAAAAAAAACAGCCACTAGAATAGGACCACAGGAGAAATTCCTGTTCTGCATTCCAACATCAGAAAATAGAATCTTGCAAAATACTTGCATTTTTCCCTTCCTAGGCATGTAAAAACATTTTCTGGGAAGTAGGAAAGCCAGCATCCACTGGAGAAGCTGTGCACGAGACCAGTCTGCAAAGCTATTTCAAGAGCCATGCTTTAGAGACAATTTTTGTTGATTATATCTTTCATTGATCGCATCTTTTATGGTAAAACTGAAGGATGCCAGGATGGAGATACCAGGAAACAATACAAAAGCTTCTATGGGAGAATAGAGCTTGTGGTCTGAACTAGTTAATTGTCAATTACTTCAGTTACAAAGCTCTACTGCACTAAAAAAGTGCAAACATTAAACCAGTTTGCTCTTCAATAAAAGCAGAAAACTCATCTATGTAATAGACAGGTATGCAATAGCTTGCTCTAAATCGTCCTAAAGAGAACACAGATGCCTCTGAAGGAGTACAGCTGAAAATAAAAGGATAGAACAGATACAGGCAATAAGCAGAGAATGGGAGACAGAAAACAGTTACTATTAATTCAGTAAATATCTGTGGAGTAGGTGAAACATTTTTTCTACTTTGGACAAAAGCCTTTAGAAAACAGCTTCCTCCACAAACTATTATTATTCTTTATAGATGTTTCAAAACTTAGCAACCATCACAGCCCTATTTCAGTTAGGGCTCCTAATGAATAACTGGCTTTGGATTGGTTTAGAAAATGAGAATTGGTTTAAAAATAATTAATAGCACAAGTTCTACCCTGAAAGACAGAAAATACCCTGGAGGGCATGAGGAAACATCCGGGGTGTGCAAAGAGCACCAAGTGAGTCTACTCCTGTTGTTACTACTGTCTTCACACACACAGAATGGTATTGGTGCCTCCCCAGACACTCCTGGACCATCTTCAAAGTGCTGTGGGTGCCCAGTGCTAGGAAGGTGAATTTCCAGTAATGCATCGCATTAAACTGGGACACAACCACACTGGTCTGAGCCCAGAAAACAGAAGATGCGTTAGAGTAAAGCTGTGGATTTGTTAATTGCTATTACAAGCCAAATCAAATAGGCAAAGAAAGCAAGCAATTCTTGGATAAAAGCACAGGGAGATACTATCAACACTGTTAACACAGGAATGGCAGCTTTTAAGAAATCAGGCCGCAGTTTGTGCTGTCAATACTGTAACGTGAAGTATCACGTAAGGGACAGATTCATGAAGAATGTTACATGTGTGTCAACTCTTTAAAATAATGTAAATGAAATTTCAAATTGCTATGCTCTTGTCACCTGTGCAACAGTGGTATCAAGGTCCATTTCTGACACCGTCTAAGCCCAGGAACCCCACTGAAGTCAATGTCAATGAAAGGTGACCACTGGCCCAAACAACTCCACTTTTAAAAATAGGCTACTGTATTTAAGGACAGGCTGATAAGAAAAGGTTTCCAGATACTCAGATTCCCAAAGCTGTTTGAAATAGTCCAACTTCAAGACAAGAAAATTAAACTGTTCCCAAAAGACCATTGAATTTGTTTAATTCTTAATTTAAATGTTTGCTCCCTCTACTGGTTCTCCTGCAGCAGTTAGCAAGCACTAGTTAATAGAAGAGTAAAACTAATGAACAATCCCAAACATGTTTTGCATGAGTGACATTTGAGCCAGTTGCTAATAAAACAAATTCCACTCCATCCATATTCATCATAAACAAGGGAGTGAATGTGGTAATGAAATTATCTATTCTAAAAGCATTTCAGAGGTTAGTGAAACAGACTGTAAAACTGAGTATGGTAGTGATTTATTTTAATATTATGTTAAATAATAGAGCAGATTATAACCGAGTAGAGCACTGACTATAAACAGCCCATGAAAACGTAGGTACCCGACACACGAACACTAACATCGCATTGAAGGAGGGAAGGATGAGAAAGACTGTAGAATTTACAGTCAAGTCCTTTTGGCAGTTGTTCAAATATAATCTGAAGTTCCCAGGGCATTCTTCCAAAAAGCAGGGATAACCCTGGACTGCTCACAAACATTTCCTCTCAAGAAAATAAAACATTGTCCAACACTAAATACGATACTGTGCTATCAGGAATTAACTCATTACCTACCGATACATAAAACTGAAAGTACAAAGTTATTATGGAATGCTTAAAATGCTATGTTCTAAGCGACCATTTAAAAATTAAGCTTTTTTACAACATTATCCTGATCAAAGCAACATGCTTAAATCTAGACGTTATTTAGTAATATTTTCAGAAATGCAAGTTAAAAACATGGTTTAAAAATACAATTGATTTTCCACATCAAAAGTATTTTACCCTTATATATTCCAGCCAATGTGTGGAGTCCACATTTGATAACCACCGAGTCTCATCAATAGTAGGATAAACTATTTCTTTAAGTTTACGCAGGGATTCTCTCATTACGTGTATATTATGAATTTCCAGGAAGACCAGCTCTGCATTTGGGTAGGCACTTTCACTTTCATATCCTCCACCTTTTGCCTGTCATTCAAAAAGCAAAAACAGACGAAGAAAACAACATGTACAGGACTTCAGTATGAGGTTGAGAGGGTTATTTTGGTCAGGTTTCAGGATTTTCTGAAACAAAGGATTATTTTAGCACTAATAAAAATATATTTTTGGCTTTTGCTTTTCTAAGAAGCACTAGGGTAATTTTTTTAAGGTGAAAGAAATTCGAATTGTAATAGGCTACATTTGATAATACATTCATATACCTTCCCCTTTTCACTACTGAAACCTGTGGTCTTCTGTGGGCTTTACTGCATCATTTCTCAGCTATGTCTTCATGCTGCCTTCAGTTCCTGCCGGCCTTTCCAAAATGCTACAAGCAACTTACCTTCCTTCCCATGCCCTCTTTAGAGACCCTTTTTTCTCCCTTTTCAACAGCAGGTTCTCCTCATCCTCATCTCTTACTCAATCTTCAGCCTTGTAATAAAGATAGAACTACTAACGCTAGTTATGATACCAACCTACCTTGTTTGTGTCTGCAACACTATTCTGTCTGGCATCAAAGATGATAAGTTTATGTGACTGAGCATTGGCATCCATTATAGTCTGCAAATATTTTTCATCTTCTTTGCAACGCTTATCATTTGGGCCTACTGATGGCTGACTGCATCGTGTTATTGTTGCTTGGCTCTCAGGATGAATCCAGGATAACACCTGGAATAAAAGAAAATTATTTTAGTTTATTATACTACTATAAAAGCAGCAGGCCAGAGTGCAATTAGACAATCACACTGCCTACATGGAATTATTTCCTGGCAAATGAACAAATGCAAATTTAAGGACAAGCTGATGCAAAACCATATTGAAGCACACTAGCACTGCTCATCCCAAATCTGAGCTTGAAATACAAAGTGATTCTAAACATCTTAGCTTTTATTTCTAATAAAAACTAAGCCGGCTACTGCATCTTACTAATTAGAAAAAAAAGAACAATGGAGGAAGAAAAACTGCTTCCATGTGGAAGTCTATGGACCTGTACACTACCTTGCTAAGCAGATCTACAGCATGAAAACTGTCACCATATAACATATTTGAAGGGGTTCTTATGCTACCTGCAAAACCTGTCTATTCTCAAGAAAACCACTATGGCTGTAACACATTCCACACCAAATCAGAACACAAGTTCATATGTGAATTAGCATCAGATACCATTGTGGCTTAGAAGTGTTAACTCCAAACAAAAATTTATTAGACGACACAATAACCAAGCAATTAGACTCACATTTGAGTTGCTCTCTTCAGTTCTAAACCCATCAAGCCTACTTCTTTTTTCTTTGCCCCCCCCCCCCCCCTTTCAGAATGTTTGCCCCCCCCCCCCCCACTTTCAGAAAGGGAGCTGGCCCACTGTTATTTAAAAAAAAGCCTAAAAGAACTCAGATAATTTCTTATGAGCTACAAATTTGTAGAGCACTTATATCTCCTCGTAAAAGTTTCACTTACTGGAACTCTGCCTTTTGCTCTAAACGCTGCCACTTTTGAGAGGTCATCATCCTTTACACTGGTTGGCACAACAAGAACAGCAGGGTATGTATCACAAAGCTCATAGGTGCTGTTAACTTTGGATATTTTCCAACTCTCATTGGGCAAGCCCTGTACGAAAGCAAAACATTTTTGTATTTTTCAGGTTAGACCTTTACATATCTGAGTTTGGGGTGATGAAAATTTTTATATGCTACGTTCTTTTTTAAAAAAAGTGTGCCCACATTTTTCTTTTAAATAAGCTCTAAACTTCAGGACTTCATATTGAACCATAAACCAAAATACTGAAAGTCTTTCCTATTTATTATCTTTAAAACTGATAGGCAAAATAACTATTTGAATAGGCTGCACACTCAGGTAAAAAGTGAACATATAGTGAAATAAAAATGCTTTTGCAACTAAGAAACTGTAGATTTACAATGACAAAGTATGGTTACTCTTCTGTTTAACGCTGCTTATTCAAAACCAAATTTTTATAAAGCCTCTATTTTCTAGAAACAGCACTTGGAAAATGTGGATTTAAGAATGCATGTTAAGATAGACCAATTTGCTCAAGTACTCAGCACCTGTTATCTCCATCAACTTTAGCAGGGGCTCAGCACTCTCAAAGTCAGGCCACTTGCATCTTATTATCTAAACATGAGATCTAGGCAGACTCTGTATGTAGCTAGAGCTGAAAATTTCGAGTTTTCTTGAATATTTTTTACTTGTTTAAATGGCTCCAGGGGAGATGGAGAAAAAAAAAATACACCAAGTACTTATATAACTTACCTGCCTCTTATATTCTGCCATTGGATCATATACTTTCCAGCCATTGACAGCAAACTTTTCTTTATAGCTGAATGCAAAAAGAGGCTAAAGACAACAAAGCAAAGGCATACATTACTGTCTGATGGGCTGTATGCACAATAAGCTCCAAAACAGTGAACCTTCTAATATTTCAAATGTAACACTTCTAAAACTCTTTAACAGCAGACGTAAAACCTTCAGTCAAGACTGGACAACACTGTGCTACAAAGAAAATGAAAGACAGTTTTCTCCTTCAAGTACATACTATATAATTAACAAAATCAAGATTGGAAACAGTCAGAGAGTTGAAGTTACTTGCCTGTGATCATGCAACACATCAATGGCAGAGCCAGGATGAAGAAACTGGTCTCCTACCTCCTGACCAGTTCCTTACCCATACAAGCAAATGAAATAGCATTCTGCAGCTAACTAATAGTAAGACTAATTGTACCTATTTGTTGTTTTAGACAGAACTTCTAGACTGAATTATCTACTGCAGAAAATAAAGGTCAATACATACATATTTTTAATCAGCAACATTAGGCAAAAATAGATCTCAAGGGTTATGTACAAATTAACTAATTTCACCGATAGCAGGACATAGCATAATGTTTTACGAATTAATGCAAAAAGGAAACAGGGTCAGAGTAGCTTGCCTGCTACAAACATTTCAATGTTTGTTATACAGCCCTTGTATTTCCCCACCTACACTTTCCAGAAAGAGGTGAGCCAGTGACAGCCTTCTCTACATCTTAAGACTTACCAGCCCATTAGAAACAGGAAATGCGCGTGTTACAAGGTTTTCAAAAATCTCCAATCTGTTCTGTTCTTCCTGTTTATAGGCCAGCCGCAAATTTCTCATATCCTGTCAAAAATAAGTTACACTATTGTACTCTATGATAAATTAAAAAAAAACCAAAACAGTTATAAGAAATTTGATTGAAGGAAGGCATATATGTAGCACTAAGTCACTGACATCATCTAACCCGCATTAGAACAGAGTTCTGCAAGTGTTCGTATCAGATGACTAGGATCGTCATTAGAGTTGCTAGATATCATAAAAATAGTGACTTTTTCCTTTGAATTCACTCTTGAGACAAAAGGCAGAAGTGTTTAAGACTGCAAGTATCATAAGAGGAATTGAAATATATTATCTAAACGAAGCAGGGTTCAAATACAGGGAACTGATCAGACAGAAAAATAGCACGTGTGCATGCAGATTCCTCTTACAGAAAAATGAAGTGAAAATACTTCAATATGAATAAATCTCTACCATGCCATACCTTGCAAACTATTTCTATACCACACGAGTTGTCTCCATGGCTCTGTACTCCAATTTTTTCAACTCTACTTATGACTCCAAGGGGAACATCAACAACAAAAGGTGGATCCTGAAATTTGTATATAAAACAAATGAATTTTGTTACATTAGGAGGAACACAAACTAATATTATTCATGTATGTTTCATTAGAGTCAACTATAATTCCTGTTTAATAGACTGCTGTGGAACATCATACTTCACTTACCCCAGATTTGTCACTTTCTGAAATCTACTTCAGCAACATTCCTACCTGAAACAATATGCAGATAGATAGCAAAGTCTTACCCTTTCAACACTTTTGATATACATTCTGAAGTCCGTCACTGTTAGTGTACCACTGACTGCTCCCATAAATGGACAGATATACATAACATCTTTAGCTGGAAAACAGACCAATTAAAGCTTTGTTTTACTATTATAGACATTTGTTCCATAAAACTCTATTTCCATTTAAAAATAGCAAGATTTTTGCAGTTCCGTAAGATTTTGATGCTTGACCTCTATAGGAAAGCCTACTCTTCACAAGCTGTCAGGACTGAAAGAGCTGTCTTTATCTCAACAATGAAAACAATCAAATTCCTCAGTCCCACTGCTGCTCAGCAACTACTGAGCAACTGGGGCTGGGCTCAGCTAGCCCTGGCTGCGGTAAGGGCAGGCAGGTAACAAAGCACCCTGCTGGTATTCTTAGCTGCAGGCGGCTCTGGTCCCTGCCCTGAGGTGTGAAGCACCCACACTCACCTCAGAGAGAGAGCATCTGAATGGGCAATTACTGATGTGCACGCAACTGACCTCCAAGTAATTCAGTTGCGTACCCATATCTTCATTTTCACTTTTATTTGAAAGAGCTAGTATTCTTTTCTAGCCAAGTACTGTACTGCTAACACAGAGCTTGCCATCACAGACCAAAGTGAAATAAATCTCATTAAGAACTGGAAACTAAGTTTTCCATAACTTCATCTTCTTTGCTATCACAATTTTGAACCTTTTGAATCTATAAAGTATCCTTGGCATCCCCAAGCAAAAATACAACCCATACACCTATATGGAACAAACTAACCCCGGAAAAAAATTGATTTATCTATATGGAGCAAGTCATCCTCTGGAACTGATTTCTCCTTCCTACATTTGGATTTAAAAGACAAAGGAAAGAAATCCACATCAAATCAGCTAATCTAAAGTGGCATTAAATTAAAATAACAAAAGTCAAAAGGAAATAATATTTGTTTTTAAATAAACAAACTAGTGATTTAATAGTATTCAGTGTAGTACTCAATAGTATGCTTACCAGTAACTTTGATTGATTCTCCAGGAAAAAGTGGAGCCTCTTCCATCTGTGCTAGTTTGTTTCCATCCCACAGTGCCTGGCAGAAATCCAAAACCATGAGTAAATCTCACTTTCCATCTGTACCACATCAATACATTTTGATGCAAAGTGCTTTTACTACTGGAACACAAGAAGTGTATCTTTTTTTACAAGGCACAACTGTATTAAACAGTACCATAGTGAAAAAAACCCAAACAAACACAAAACTCGGTATTATAAATATTACACAGAGATACATGTTAGTAACATATTAGTAATAAAGCATTTATGCAACAATTAGTTTCACATGCTAGCTACATATAGCATACAAAAATACGAACAATAAGATCAGCCCAAATTTATAATTAATAATGTTAGTCTTTTGCTAAATGCAGGTATTGTTTTGGGTATTTTATCTACTTGAGAACATTTTAAAGCTCATATTACATTTTTTTCTATTCTTAATGTTGTTTATTTAACATTTGAGTATTTTCATCTGAGCAAATTATATGGCAGAAGCTTTATTTATTTAACATTTTAATTTTGTATTTTTGATAGCAAGAAGTCAGAAGCACCCCACGATACTCTTTTTCAATCAATACCCTTACTGAGAGTGCCACAGGTTATGGAGGAGGTCCATTACAGGAATTTTGGATCCAGAAGGTCAGATTAAGAATGAAGTAATAATGAAATATAGAAGAACAATTAGCAATTTTAAAATAAGGGCTAGTTCCATAAATTTTCATTTAGGTAAATGGCTTCATTCCTGAATGATACAAGATTGATCCTTTGGGTCCTTCATTGGCAGCTAAGATTTACAATGTACTAAAGATTTTAATTAAGAATAAAAGGGTTGGCGGGACTTTTAAGGACCACTTGAGAAAGTGATCTCTCTCGGGTCAACATGATGTCATAGTAAGGTTTCAATTTTTTACATCCTGAAGTGAGAATAAATATAATGGGCTATGTTACAGTAAACAAATAACTCTTCCCTTGTATTACAGCTCTGATCCACATACAAATAATTGGTAGGATCTGTCTGCCTCCAAACAAACTACCCCAAGCCCTCATTGATAAATAATTTCTAAAGATATTTAAATTGATCTCTGGCTTTAGATTTTCTTGGAAACTAACAGAATTTTGTATTCAGCACCCAATCACAAAAGATGTGTAGAGAATTAGCCAATACTTACAAACTCAGAAGGACAGATGTGCTCTGTCAGATAGGGTCTTACATGCAGTATTACATTTTAGACTACATGACATTACACGAAAACCCTACCTAGCACATAGCCGGTTAACACACTAAATGCTTTCGATGGATTCTCTTGCATAAGAAATGTATGTATTGTACAAGTACTAATATATAGTACCTTGCTACACAGTTAATGAATGAAAGATGAGTAAAACTTGCCACCTGATCAGGTTCTGCTTCAGAATGATAGCCATTGTGTCCATCCTGAATCTCCTGCATTGCATGAGGCAGCAGTAGGGCAAGAGAGAAGTAACAGGAAAAAACATGCAGACAACAAGTGAAAGGACAGAATCTTTTCTTTTTTGCTTCCCTTTTTTTTTCTTTCCTTAAAAAGACAGCATATACTTTAACTCCAGTTTAGCTATTCAAAATCTTCCACTCCTGGCACAAACTACTTTCCACAGAAAGGAATCCAAGCTAGTAGCACGATGCTTTTAATGTTATTTGGCACAACACAAAATAAAAAATTTAATCCCTTTTTCACAAAAGAGTCAGTGCTGGTAGATAAGAACATAAAAGTATGTACTGTCTTTTTAAGACAAACAATCTTATAGTGAAGAAAATGAATTCAAAGTATGCCACATGCTTATCAATAGAAGAAATTGAGTACAGCTTGCAATGGTAGCATTAGGGGAAAACTCATGCAATCTTTCAAGAAAAAATAGGTCGACATCAAATAGAAGTATCTAGACAATTTAAAAAATGCTTTACTGTGTAAAACATGTTTTAATTGAACTTTCAGTTTTATGGCTTCACATATTTTTCCAGAAACTTCTGTGTTGTTGCTGGAAAACCTAGTCAGTAGCTTTACAGAACCTAAAATTACTCCTCATAGCAAAATATGCAAACAATTCACATTTTTATGTTAATTTGTTTTTGCATCATATTGGCAGCAAATCCTGAATATTAATTAAATCTCTTTAATAAACATAAGGTCCCTATGCACTCCAGAGAGAAGCAAAGATGTCATAGGGTCATATGAAGTAACTGTTTTATTACGTTGAGCCAAAACTGTTCTTCCACCTTCTTTCTTTATTAACTGGAGAGAAGCTGTGTTCATGACAGTCTATTATTCCCAGTTCACATGCAAAGAACTTCTCACTTGATAGACTGTAAAACCAGCATCAGTCTAAACTTACAAATGTTTGCTAAAGTCAATTTTTCTTTTTACAGTATTTCTACAGAACCCTCAAAAAAGAAAAACTTAGAAGAAGAACTTCAGATATCTTCAGGTAATCTGAAGTCTACAACAGCTGAAAAAGTTACAATTAATTAAAAAACCCTTTCAAATTATAAAGGACTCCTAACATTTATGTATTGGTGGAATTCTATTAAATAGAAATTACTTAAATTTCAGACCATAAAAATGTTGTTTCTGAAATTAAAGCAAAGTAGATATTGCAGTCTCTGGAGGAAAACCAGAAGGACGACCAGCAAATACACCAGAAGATTTTAAATAAATGAAAGAGAGAGAAGCACAGCAGATCATTCAATGACCAAAGCCTTTACAAAGAACTATGAAAAACTGAATGAAAACAATCACTTTTTGTTACTCAACTCAGACCAATTATTTCAAGAGCTATCTATTTAAAAAAAAAAAGATCAACTTGTGGATTTGTGTGATTGGACTAAACACATCATTTTCAAATATGTAAACAACGGATGAGAAAAAGAAATCATTCAGACTTCATCTCTTGGCTTGAGACTGAACAAGAGGTCTTTGTTCGAATAAAAGTGTTAGACACATTTCACGAACAATGTCAGAACGCTATCCAGATCATTTCTCGCTCCATAAATGTTACTAAGAGAGGGACAAGAAAACAAGGCATGCCCTTTTTATATCTCTCCAGTGAACAATGGGCAAGACCTAGTCTCAAAATTATCATTAAAAAGATGCAGGTCATTGCACTAGTGTCTAACTTCAAACCTAACTTTTAATCCTACTACAGGGTGGTAACAATTAAGGTAAAACATGTACAAAGGCAAGCATGAATTGGTATCTTATTTAAACAGGATAGACAAAGACGTAACACTTGTACCACTAATATTCTTTAGCATAGATAACACGTTAGAGGTGCTAATACAGTACTCTGTAGTCCGAAGCATGTAAGCCTCAGTTGCAAGCATCCGTTTTGTCAAAATTAATGTAATAAAACTGAAGTTAGTATTGCACATTCATAACAAAATTTAAAAATACTGCTCTCCTACACATTGAGTTTTATTGCTCACGAAAACATTGTAATGTATATAAAGCATTTCTATGGCAAAGAAGCTGTTGCACTGCATAGCAAAATGATCTGACTGGTTCATAAAAACCATTAATGAAGAAGAACGCTTGACACACCAAGATCTCACACAGCACAAAAGACAAACAGGTAGGAGGCCGTTTTACTGCTAGCCAAAGGTAATCTTACCCGTATAACAGGCCTCCTGTACACCTGTTAGTTAAAATATAAAATGTTATCCAACAAAACACACAGATTTGATTTGTTAAAGATATTATACCTTACTTCATCAGATTTTCAGAACAACTCTACTTCCAAACATTTTAATTATAGACTGATTTTGAAAGAACAAAACAAAACTATGCAGATCTAGTAGCTCTCATTTGAAGAAGTGTTTTGGTCTAAAAACAATCTAGCCACTTCGTTTTGGTGATGTAGCAAATGCCAAGCTGTTTTGAAACATTCATTCCTAATCACCCTTTTATCCAGCTACATGTGCTGCTGTGAAAAGAGAAGGAAGAGCCTGGTAATCCTTATAGGTGGAAGACAATAAGCCTGCAATAACAGCCATGCGGTATAACCACCATATCTTTTAGATTCAAATGGCAAAACAAGGATAGCGACAACTCTTCTCAACTTATTTCTGAAGGTGTCTATGTTTGGCTACTACAATCTAAGCAATTTTCATTTATATGAACCCCTCATTCAAGGATACTCTCCAGGCACAGAGTGTGTCACAGAAGACATACGCAGCAGAGTTCAAACTCAGAGTGAGAGCATGTTGCTGTAGGGTTTAGCAAGCAAGAGCTCGCTCAGTGCTCTCCAGGTTTGACGATTCCATTTGCAGGCCCTTTGCTTCCGTCTGATTTCCCCCTCCCCTAAATTACATTCTGGTAAGGTAAGTTACACAGAGTAACGTGAGTAACACCATTCGATACAAGAATTGATATATTTACCTGTTTTTGCAAACATTGATTGAAACATTAAAAAACGGATGAAAGAAAGAATAAAGCAGTGAGTTCCTGGTAAATCCAGCAGAAAGCAACAGAACTGCCTTGCCTGACCAGTTCCAGAGGCAAACACACACATCTGGCCCTACCTGAAGTTTGAGTTGTTGTAAGATAGTCTCTAAATACAGCAATTCGAGGCAACCAAAGGTAACGAAGACCCAGAAAATAGATCAGCGTGCATCAAAAGGGAAAGATGTCTCAAAGGAAAACAATTATAAATGGGCATTATCTTTTTACATGTGAATTCCATCGTAACAATGAATAAACCCAGCCTCTCAGTGGTACTGACTAAGCAACTAAGTGTACCACTGAACTTCTGCAGAAACTAAGTGCAAAGCAAACCCTCTCCTAAAGCATAGATGCCACTTCACAAGACACTGGTTCTGAACGTAACTGAAGATATTCTAGGATAAAAAATTCCATGATGTTATAGACACATATGGGATTTCAAATCACAGCAATGCAATGATGCCAAATACAATTTATACACAAAATTTCTGAATACCACCAGGCTTAATTTTTTTTCTTTCATTTCTAAGAAACAGAGAATGAAGTAGAATTTTAATTAGGCCTTAAAAGACTTATTCCTGTTAAATAATATCCAAGATGAGTTTGGTATAAAGAAGGAGGTTATTTAGAATTTAAAAGTGCCCTTTATTCCAGAGGAATGCGTTCTAACTCAGAGATAAACTGAACACCAAGCTTACACACTTGGATTTTACTGAAATGAAGTCCTTGATCTACAGGCCAAATACAACATAGACAGCTGTAATGCAAGGTTTCCCACAATGTTTTATCAAAGATGCTAGCCTTGACCTGAAGTAAGCATTTGCAATTCAGCTGCCATAGTACGAAAGAGCTATACTTTTTTATGAGTATAAGCTGCTGACTGTGCCAATAGTGTGAAACTCTGTGAGGTGAATTTTTAAGTAGACTACGGTCAAAAACATTTTGTGGATTCACCTTCAGGCTTGGGCTGAATCTGACCTGCTGTCACAGAATCTAAAATACGCTGTTTCTGGACAACAAACTTTTTAATCACAGAGCATATCAGAAAATAATTTAAAACCTAGTTAAAAACAAAAAAAGATAAAACCTTCATTCGGCCATTTTGCATGAAGACCATGAAACTGTTTCAAATCTAGGAAGAAAAAAGGATCTAGATAGCAGCAGCCTGGGTTTCTTAAAGGGACTTGAAACACAGGTGACTTTTGTCAATTTGTAAGAGCAGGAAAACTGCATACGCTCCACTCTTGATAGGTCAGTTGGCGGGCTGCATATAGGAAACGGCAAATGAGCATGAAAGAATAGGGGTAAAAAAGTGTAATGGAACCTATCAGGTAAACCATACTGTGCAATCATTACCGTAGTGACAAAAACGTTGCTGAGAGGGAGTGAAAGAGGTGATTTGTTTGTTTGTTTGATGTTAAATTCTCTGTCTCTGGTGAAACCCCATGAAAAATGATAGTCATTTATGTTCTTTGCATGGTAACAAAGACATATGCATTTATTTTTTGTGAAATCTGGAAAGCTCAGTTCTGTACTCTGAATGACACACACTAGAAACAATTTCAACCTGTAACTATTAATCTACTTTACGATTTTTTTTTAATGTAGCAATCAAAAGAAAAGACAACTCACTTTTGGCGTTTTATTCAAAACATTGACTTTTAATTTTCCTTTCACCTCTCTCTTAATTTTTATTCTGTAGAGTTCAATGCTACTATTCAAAATATGGAGGAAAACACAAAGCAGATTCAAGAGACTCCTACGCATAATGAGATGTTTCTAGTTCTGAAACATTCAGCGATCACTTAAGTACTCACCACCTGATAATCAAGGTAGCAAGGACTTTCCTGATCATTCACTCTTCTATCTTAAACAAATCAATGCATTCATTCACTCTTCTATCTTAAACAAATCAATGCATTCCTCGAGTCACTTACCCTGTAGTCTCTGGACACACCTTCCGATGGGACAGACCCTGAAATCTGACTAGAAATGGTTGCAGCTATCAGCTGTTTGCACCATTCCACATGGGATCCAGTTGGGCTACAAAAACAGAATATTTCAAATTATTTAGCAGTAATTCAAAATGTACATTGAGAATAGCGTAGCAACTGAGCACACCCAGAACACAAGACCATAGATGATCACTAACATCATAAAAATTAGCTTGCTTTGTGGGCAGAATGCAACTATTTCGCGGATCAAATTAGGGAAAAGAATTTTACTAGATCTTATCAGAGATGTGGAGCTGTCAGTAGGTTAAAAGCAAGGTTAGGGTCCTACGAACTTATAGAAATGTTGGTTTCCTTATCCAGTGTAATTTTTTTCATCATTAATCTTTTTTTTTCTTAAAGCCATCCATGGAATGAATTTCGTCAAGTAGTAGGAAACTCCTTACACTTTCCTTATTATTATTTCCTGATTATTCAGTAAATCTTCAAAATTAAATTACTCTATACTAGTATTTAAAAATTTAAACTATGCTAGTGTTGTATTCTATATTAATATTAAATGTAGAAAATATATGTTTTCTAAAGGGTAACTTCTAGTTAGCCATATTTTTTCCTATTCATAAAATAATCTCTGAATAATCTTCAGGACGGGCCTTCCCATGCCACAGCAAGGAATTTTGCAGTGTAGGGTGTTTGTAAGAACCCTAGAGACAGCAGCATCGCACTAAATCCCAGATGATGCGTTTTGAGCACAGTAGCCTGAACTAGTGCTGCTTACAAATAACGTAGTATTGAGAGTGAGAAGCAATTACAGTTTGGTGCCAGCCACTTTGAAGTGCGCTAGGTCTCCTTCAAAACATGCCAGTACCTCATGAAGGGCTGGGAATGCCAGAGGGAACTGTTCCCTGAGTGCCGCGGCAGCCTCAGCTGATGCCTTAGATAACTGCCATTTCTTCAAACAGTTCAGTTGGGCTCTTCTACAGATTTAATGCTTATTCGGAAGTCAAATAAAGAAAGAAAATTTTAATCCATTTTTAAAATTCACTCATGAACTAACTTTGGATTCTGTGAGTATCCCGTGACATTGAAGTGAATAACTACATACGCATACCCAGCACCCAACAGGGGCACCACAACTTGGACATAAAGAGGGTGGGATAATGGCATAAGATGCCCAATTACTACTTAACTAGAGGTCTTTTCTCACATTAACTCTGCTAGGATAGGTAGACATAAGGTGAAGATGCATGCAACAACTTCATACCTGAAATGAAAGCTCTTTCAGAACTTTTCTGATAGATTTTAGTAGCTTTCTCCCCACCCACAAAATTCTATACAGTACTAGATGACAAAATGTTGTTTTGCAACTAAAACACATCTATGATACTCCTGCTTGAACAATGAAGATAACTCTCAGGTTAGTGTTGAACTCGAGTCCAGATTCACTTAGAGAAACTCTTAAGTTTTGTAAAAGAGTGCACAAGCTAAACCCTACGGTAATCCTTTTCTGATCTCATTTATTTCTCCTTCTCTCACGTCTCTTAATTTTTAGTGCACCTTTTTAGGGTTTGCCTAAGTTCGTTTCCAAATAAGCATTTACTTGTTAATTAAGAAAAGGATTTATTTTTCTATGGCTTATCTTCACCGGGAATCACTACATCAACAAAGTTAACAGCAGCAGGAAAACAAATGTGAATGCAGGTCCATCTCCTACAGTCTGTGTCTCAGGGTGTATCAGTGTACCACAGGATGCTGATCATACCGATGTGACTTGTCACCATCTGTCAAGTGGGACACACCAGTACACGTCTTTTCATTCTGCCTCATCTGAGGTCACGCACATTAGCGTAGCCTGGTACAACCGTACTGGCAAATAAATAAATTATATGACAAACGGACATTATAACTTTTCCAGGGTAGAACAAGATTAGCGGAAGAAAGAAAGATGAAAACTAAGATAAGAAAGTGCATTAAGGAACACAAAGATGTAAGTTGCAGTGATAGAAAATGGACATTTGATTTCCACCTTCACTAGAACGATGTAAAACTCCAGGTTTCTCCTAGCAGAAAAGAGAGAGAATATGGAGACTGGAATCTGGCACTGATTTTTAAACAGTCTTTTTTTTTATTTTTCATCTGGGTGAAATCTCCGTTAGTTTCTACTCCTTATTTAAGGATTTTTAAATTAAGCTCTGAAGTCTCCCTCCAGCTGCAAACTCCTAAAAGAAGGAATTTCTCTGCCAGCGACTGCTGAACTAGACGCAGTAACACCTGGCGTCAAGCTCCTGCGTACCCACCTCTGGCGAAACCCACCAACCTGCAGCCAGCCCAGGATCTGCCACCGGCCGCCGCCGAGACACAAAGCCACCACGCACGCCTACAGACAAACGGACACACCGGGACACACACACACACACAAAATACCGCTTTGGGACAGTTACACCTCTGCAGGTGAAATACGCACTCGCGTGAAAAAAATATCGCGAATAAAGACTTAAAATCTGAGAACGGTCTCACTTGAGTTTGCAGAGATGAGAAGCTACGCACTGCCCAAAACAACCCCGGGCCAAAATCCCGCGGGCAGCCTCAGCCTTCGCAAAACCGGTGACGTTAACGACGAAAATCACACAACCGCAAGCAGGAAACTTTGACAACAGCCGGTTCCCTGGCTGAGGAAAATCTGCCGCTAGCCCGCGCGGTTACACAAAAATAACCCCCCCAGA